CAGTCCGTCTCGGACCTGAACAACAAGACCTTCGACGTCGAGTCACAGGACCTGGGCGGCACGGAATCCATCATGGAGAACCTGAACATGCGATCTCTAGCCGCCTCCCACTTCCCATCGCACGATGGCAGCAACTACTTCTCCACCAGCAAGCGCAAGACGTCGTACGAGAACAGCGACGGGTCGCAAGGGAGCTCCGTCAGCCACCACGGCGGCCGGCCCGTCGTCAAGCGTTTCAAGTCCGAGGCTCTGACAGGCGATTCCGCTCAGCCGGGAGACTCCGCCCTGCGAGACTCCATGACGGATTACTCCACCGACGCCGAGAACAACGACGCCGAGGAGTTCGAGCTGCTGGCCCACATCCCGCCCGTCGCGCGGGCCCGCTCGACGCGGCAGGTGGACGAGCCGGTCAACAAGTCGACCTACTGGACCGCCGGCGACCGCAAGTCGTACCACCTCCGCTACCCGGAGATGACACAGTTCCAGCTCGACGCCTTCCGCGCCGCGGCGGCGGAGCGGGGCGAGGAGTTCGCGCCGGGCGGCAAGACGCCCCTCTGGGACCTGGCGATGAAGTACTTCCCGCCCACGCACTACGAGCAGGTCGTGTCCAAGACGCCACTGGACGTCGAGACCGTCTCCAACGCATCGGGCGACAACAACCGGGGAAACCGAGGAGACGAAATCCCACCCACCGCCCACTCCCGCCCCTCCTCCCCGGACATCCCGGACACCCTCGTCCCGGCCCACCACCTAATCCCCCCCAACCCGCAGGGGAAACGCATAGTCGCCTCCCTAACCTCAACCCCGCAATCCACAATCCCCAACATAACCCTGCACATAACAGAGTCCGTCCTCTCCTGGGGTCGCGGGCCGGAGAACACGCGCCAACATTTTCCCTCCTCGGAAACCAAAGTCCCCAAATACGCCTTCAAAATCCTCCTCTACAAGCCAGGCTACGACCCTTCCCGGGATTTCAGGCCGTGGAACCAGAACCTCTCCCGGACGCCGGGGGCCGAAGGCGCCTACGACTTTTACGTCTCCACCAAATCCACCCGCGGCATCCACGTCAACGACCACCCCCTTCGATCCCACGACGCCAAGAACCCGGCCTCCCCCTCCAGGTACTGGATGCGCCTCCACGACGGCGACAGGATCGTGGCCTGGGTGTGGGAGGACCTGCGTAAACCCGACACGCCGAGGACGGAGTTGGAGTTCCGCTGCGCTTGGGGCGGGAGTTCGCGACCTCGCCCTCACCCTGCGGGTGGGTCTAGTACACCAGCTCTGGTTGACGAAGCTACGGCGAGGAAACTGGACGAGTTACTGGCCAAGGCGGAGAGGAGGGTTAAGCTGAGCGACGAGCACGATTTTAAGATTGCGGAGGCGGAAATAGATCGCAACGAGCGGGCGGAGGATGCGGCGGGGGAGAGGGAGAGGAGCAGGGTTTTTGAGGCCAGGAGACAGGAGGCGAGGAGGTGGTTGGCGGAGAAGAGGGGGAGGAAGAGCGAGAGTAGGAGTAGGAAGGGGAGTCCCGCGCTGTCGAGTGTTGGGGGTGGAAGGGGGAGTCCGGCGCCCGCACCCGGGGGAGGAGGTATGGTTGGGATGAAGACTGTTGCTGTGAGGGGACGGGGGAATGCTGCTGCGCCTGAGGGTGAATAAAGAAAGAAAGGGGTTGCGTGCGGTACCTATCTGGGGAGGAGAGTCGGAAGGAAAAGGAAGGGAAAGCAAAGGTAAGATCTTGGTTAGATAGCGATGAGATGGGTCACTGGTATTTGGGCAGAAAAGGATTAGGGATGGGGGGATACGGATATGGAAATGGGAGGAGTTCAATGATGTAAACGGCTGCCAGGTATGATACATGAAGAAATAAATACCAAGTTTGTGTATCCTTTTGGGATCTGATAAGTCTGGGGATGTTGTTGATGGCTTCTGAGTGTAGGGGACCAGTCTCCAGAGGTAAGCCAACACTCACCAACTACTTTGTTTCCGCATATACTTCCATGTTCGATGCTAGTCAATCATACCACGGCTGTTATTGCATGAGATCGACTTGCTGACTCAACTTGTAGATTCGGGGAAGGTGTTGTAGAGAAGACATGCCGAAATGGGGGTGCTTTATTTCGGCTCAGGCTATTTGCCTGCAATTATATCGCAGTACTATACCACGGAGAGAGCTCGACACCTCTTAGTTCTCCCAGTGCCTTGCTAGCAGACCCTCTCAGCAATAGGGTTTAAATGATCTGGATTTCTCCAAATCAATATGTATAACCCATTCTGATAGGATGTTGGACCATCGCCAGCCCCAGATAGGGAGACGTCGTTCTATCTTTGGCTTCCCCGAGTCTATAGCACCGGATGCACCACTCCCCTCCCAGACCCCAGAGTCGGTAGAATCAAAGTCATGGACACATACATATAGTCCCTTCCTTGCCCTGCAACTTCTCTCGGGAAGTCCTTTCCTCGAACTTGGCGCCTCCATCCATCCACCTACCATCACCTACCTACAAGTTCAACCCCCAAGAACAACCGCCAAAATGCTCTCCCCCTCCCTCCTCCTCCTAACCCTCGCCTCCACCCTCCCCCTCACCACCGCCCAGACCACCGGCCCCGTCACCGCCCCCGCTGGCTACAGAGCGGTCTACATAACCTCGAAAGTCGACACCAAGTTCGTCGTCTCCGCCAAAACCCCCGTAAAAGCGGGCAACACCATCGTCGTCAACACCCAGGCCGCCAACAAGCCCGAGCAGCAGTGGTGGCTCACGGCGACGACGGGGGACAGCAAGATCCAGCTCGTCAACACGACGCTCTGCTTGGATGCCGGCGCCAAGAGCGCCTGGAAGGACATGGCGAATATTTACGTCAAGGATTGCACGGCCGACGCGGCGGATCCGAGCCAGCTGTGGAATGTCATGGCTGATGGGAGGATTGCGTTGAAGGCTTCTAGTCCGCGTGAGTATAACCCTAGTCACAGAGAGGTGGGGGGGGGGGGGGGGGGGGGGGGGGGGCGCGGCTGGAGAAGGGGAGAGGGGAGAGGAAGAGGGGAGAAGAAAACTAGGCTAACAGGAAATATAGAGGAGTGTATCGACCTCCAGTACATGCGCGCCACGGCGAACAACCCGGTTGGACTGTATGCCTGCGCCGGGCTGGGGAACACGGGAGCGGCGGACAAGGGGATCAACTGGCCGCTTGTGAACGTTACTGCCGGCGCGGCGTGAAAGAAGACCGAGTGAGAGTAGATAAGGTACCTCTTAGTTGTAGGTTGGGAAAGCAGAAGAATAAACTTGGGGTTTTGTGCTTAAGTGTATGCCCGTGATATCTGTCGCGGATAGTAGTTGCTGTATGATACTTTGCCCTCAACTCTTTCCCCTTTACGGCAACTGGAAAGGGGGCCACTCCGATCACGTCTGCCGCTCATACCTTACCATAGCATGACGCCCAGGCACTGCTTACCCTACCTGACTGTTTCGCGCAGAAACGGCTGAGTATAAATGTAGCAGCAGTGTCGAAGCATACCGATGCACCTCACCTTTTACGCTGGCGGCTGGTGGTGCCCGTGAGATGACAGCATTACGGTACTTCATCAACACGTCATAACTCATCACCAGACGTTTAAAGGTAGCCACACACCCATAATCCCAAACTCAAAATTCAAATAAGTATTTCATGTTAGCTTCAAATATCTTCCTCCTTCCCCCCCATGCTTTCCGCCCTCCTGCTCCCGTATCAATTCTCTTCTTCAGCAACGACAAACCGGCGAGAGATGTGATAACCTACCTCACCCCGACCTCCTTCTAAGAACAGCAAGGGTACCTACTTAAAGGCGTGTGGTAAGGGAAGCAATCCGACTTTTACTCTCCCTCTCTGAAACAAAATACGTATAACACGTTCGTGACGAACACAAATTTTCTCCGTGTTTATGAAAGCCAGAAATTAAGCCCTCTGGACTATGATTAGACCGCTTTTGGTTGCCTTACGCCGAAACAATTACCTATTCTTGGTCGGTTTACTTGTTGTATCTTGCTGCTGTTTTCGTTGACTGACCTACTACAGGGGCGCGGATCATCGAGACACTGAAATTGGGTTGCGGATTACTTGGGACGGGGGTGTGTTGCTGTTCGACGTGGTTGACGGGTACGTGAGGAGGGTTGGAGGGGAGGAAGGAGGGTGCTCAGATGGGTGGAATATTTATGTGATACCTATGTGTGGCATAAGAGGAAGTTGGGGGGGAGGTAGACGTTGCTCTCCGGGTATATGTGACGTAGTCATTAGCTACCTTGTCAACATGTCTGGGACAGAAAGCTGCGTTGGCTTGCTGGGAGTCCATCTTGCGATGTATGTAGTGTTAAGTATCTGATGACAGCATATGACCACTTTTTTGCACCAGGGGTAAGGTAGATATAAGCTAGCTCTGTCCTGCTGTTCCTCCGCTCAGATCGGCCACTTGGGCATTGATGCTCCTGTCTAGATAGTTGCAACATGTAAAAGCCACATGCAGAATTGGAACCGACAAACTCTCATGGCCTAATGACCGTGGCATCTTGTTTCCTGAGCCAAGTCATTCTTCAAGAGGGCGTAGTCGGCTAGGAGGCAAGCGTCAGTCACCCCGGGAGCCTCGGACAGTTAACATAACCAGCAGAGATAGATAACGACTCGGTAGTTCGAGAATGATGTTCGTTATAATGGTTTCGGACTGTTCTTAGCAACAGACCTACACGGAAGATCTACTTGGCCTCGCTGCCATGGTGCTTGTCTCCCCTCTACCCTAAACACCAAAAGAAAGAAACAACCTGGCGAACACACGAGTTCGCCAGCACCAAGCTTCGTCCAAGCCGTCTCTTGTCTCCCGTAGAGATAACTTCCCCTCTCCACGTAGGGTCTTTCTTAACAGCCGAAAGAAGAGGAAAAAAGACACCACTGCTGAACATCCCGTCCCAAACGTCCAGAAGCAGTGAACTCCAAAAAGAAACAACCACTTCCTAGTGGACATTGGTCGCATAAACTCATGCGGTTTGTGTGGATCGAACACACGACCTTCAGATGTACATTCGTATATGATGAAGTTTGGACTTCAGTCTGACGCTCTCCCAACTGAGCTAAACCCGCTTGATGGTGGAATTGATGTTGTTATTGTGACTCGTGTAATCATGGTACGAGACGGGAAAGTGGAGGTGAAGGGTTCGCTGTCGCCGGGGCGGGACGTGGTGTTCATGACTCGGGTGTCGTGAAAGGGTGGATGGGGTTGTGGGTAGTGGGTATGCCGAGGTTCTCTCCGGGGCTTCGTGCCGTCCCGTCGGGCGGAAGAAGAGCGTTGAATCGTAAGGGCAGTCCATCTCTCCGTTCGGGCACTTTCAATGCCCCCCAGCCCTGGCTATATATGGCAATTTCCATAGAACATGTCGTCGTAGAAAGAGGGCCCTGTTATGTCGAGATCTTCAACCCAGTCCTGCCCTCTTGCAATTGGTCGTGGCTGATGTCCGGGCGCAGGAGATGTTGGCTGCTGCTTCAAGCTCTGTCGCTGCTGTTGGCCGCTCTTGCGAAGGGTTGCAGATGATATGCGGTCACGGTACCTGGTCGGTAGGTTTTGTCTCTGCTGGGTATCCCCATGAGTGTTGATCGTGTCCTCAGCTCCCGGTTTCCTTAAGTCCGTCTTGGCCAGAGGGGACCGCGAGGTCGGATGGCGAGCATGTATCGACTGCCTAGAATGGTCTTCTCGCAAGTCTTTCCTCTGCCGGGTGTTGATGGTATCGTCTGGACCGGATCCCTTATATAGCCTCGAGTCCACCCTTTGGCCCAGCGAATCGACCTTGTGGCGGAGAGCACATGCTGCTCGCTTTGCAACCTTCTTCAGCAGATGGTGTTCCTTACTTTGAGGGATGGGGACGTTGTCTCTGGGTTTGGACTTTGTCGTGGTCCTGTTCTTCGCGTGGTGAGGATGATAACGATTGTGATGGTTTGACGCTGGTTTTGGGTGGTCGCTGGGCATAAATGCCAGCGAGAAGATCATCAGGAGAGCCTCTGCCATGATGAAGACTGTTAGGTGTCGCTTGTAAATAGAGAACCGGTTGATAATAGAGATTTGCGTTCAAGCCTCTGGTAAGTGTTGCTTCAAGAGAGAAGAAGAGTTGGTAATCCTGCGAGGGAATGCCATGGTATTTATGTACGTTCCAGAACTCCAAATGGCGTTCTGAAGTTTCAAGGTTCGAATTGCGCGGATTTGAGCATGAAAAATCTCTAAAGGGTAGAAGGTTTGCATTTCGAAAAAGAATGCCGAAGTTCAGATGAAGTATGCACGCGTGACTCCCAAGCCATGGCGGATGCAAAATTTGAGGCCATCACAGGCTATGCCGCGATCTGCTGCGGCACCAGCACGAGACGGCCAAAGACTAACGTATCAGCTCAAACTCCGTTCTCGTCACATACGCCATAGTCTCCAGCATGTTTGGCCATGAGAAGGCACAACGCCAAAAGATCCTCCCATTTCCGGTTGTGCTCTCGGATCACGTGCTAACCATATATACCTCCCCCTCATGGGGAGAAAACAGCAAAAAGGAGGAACCCTTGGCTTAAAAAGCAAAAGGAAGGGTCTGACCGGGGATTGAACCCGGGACCTCTCGCAAGCTAGGCTTTAGGGTGTACCCTAAGCGAGAATCATACCGCTAGACCATCAGACCGATGCCACTCATTGCTGGGTAGGCTTGTTGATGGAGAGGCAGGTCGGTAATGCATTATGTGAAGGTTGAAGAGCAAGAGTTTGCAGAGTTTGCGGTTGTTATTGGTTCGGGGTTGAGTTTGAATGGACCGGAACGGGGCCGGACGACGGTGAATGACTCGACCGGAGGCCCACCTATGCCGGTCCACTTCCTCGGCGACGAAAGCTTCAGGAGCTTGACTGGAGATGCTGCAGCAGAATGAACAACAGACCAAAGTGAATCGTGTGCCAGTAACTGGCTTACTTGGCCGTGGGCATTCGGGTCACGGAAGGAGAGTGGAGTGTGACTGACTTGTATAACATAGAGCCTTCTTCGGAACGAGCACTAGATTTGGAAGCTCAGTGCCGAACACGGAACTCCGTCTCTCCCTCAACTACCTGCCGGTCCTCCTGGTCCAGCCTGACGACATGAGAGTGCCGAGGGCCCTGGTCGACATCCTTGAGGAAGCTCTTGATGGCCTCGTGGTCGCCCTGTGCCTCGCCTTCGACCTTGAACTCTGTGAGTCACTCTATGTTCAGCCAGGGGGGGTTTATGCGTATTCGCACCTTGTTGTTGTCGGTATTGCGTACCCATCCCGTTAGCTTATATTCGACGGCTCGCTTTTGCGTGAAGTAGCTTGAGCACAATGTGAGTCACAACTTCGGGCTGTCCCAGGAGATCGGTAAACACTCATACCGGAAGCCGACACCTGTATCCCGTTAGCTTCCGGTGTACGGCTGAGTTTCATCCGTAACTTGAACTCACCTTGAACCATGCCTCCGTGAGCGAGGAAGTAAACCTGCTCAAGCTGTCAGTCGTACTGGAAGTGACCTGCGTCCAATCTGACGTACCCGTTTGTGGCTAGACATCTTGACGGCTCAGCTGATGGCTACCTCTATTCGTTCTGTGGATGCAATAGGAAACAGACGGAAAGAAGAGAATACTAAGATCAATGCCTCCAACGAGGTTTCGATATGTTGGGAGTGAAGTTGCAAAGGTTCGAGGTGAAGGCTAAGGTACGTACCGCAGTGATGTCACCATGCCAAGGCTCTAGCGTAGTGCATCACGATAAACGATAAGCAATCCCACATTTAGCCGTCGATTTGCCGCCGCCGGCAAGTGGTCTAGAACCTCTGCACCCGCAACAACACCTTCCAACAAACAGCATCACGGCATATACAACGCCCGACAGAGTCTAACTCGACGACAAACTTGCCCAACCATGGAGTCGACAACCACACAAGCGCCAGCGGAGCCGCAGATGCCGGCTTTCCGACCTGGAAAGAAGCGAAAGATCTACAGACAGCGCGCCGAAGACGCTGACGATGCGCCACTCGATGCGCCCGCCGCGACATCCGAACCTGCTTCGACATTAGATCCGAGACCGTCAGAAGATATCACGCCTGCTGCCGACGATGATGAACACATCTCACTGTCCGCAATCCGCCGGCAAGCGCGCAAAGGCCGACTAGGCGGCGTCGCCTTCCGAGCAGGCTCAGCGCGAGCGGATGAGCAATCCGACAACACAGAACAGTCCCTTGTTATACACGATGGGAGCGCCGAAACCCCAATAGTAGGCGGGATAACGAAGCGCTTTGCTCCCCAGACCGGTATGGTAGGCGAGTTGATCAACAAGCATATGTGAGTTTCCCCTCTTTCTTCGCTGAGGTGCAAGGTAGTGAGTAAACGGTGGCTGACCAAGGAAGGGAGGAATACATAGAATCCGAACTGGCTAAGCGACACGCCGCCGATGCCAGAGCTGCGGCGATCGCTAATGGCGAAGCACCACCTTCCGAGTCGGCTACGAACCCGGCGACGACGACAGAGCCGACAGGGAATCAGACCGCGCAGCCTGAGATGCAAGGCAAGCTCATGGAGATTGACCTTGGCGACGAGGCGAGGGCACGGAATATCGCCATGACGGAACGCGCGAGGAGAATAGCCCTGGGCGAGGCTGTTGATGATGAGGATAGCGGCTCATCCCGGCCGAGGAAAGTGCGACTTGGCCGAGACGGCAAGCCGTGGAGGGGCAGGAAGAGGAGGAATAGCGAGGATATTAAGAGGGATCAGCTGGTTGAGGAGTTCTTGAAGGAGAACAGACGTAAGACATCCCACCGGCCCCCTTTCCTTGGTCTACATTGTTTACTAACACATCCACAGTGGACGTCTACGACATGCCTCGCGAACCGCCTGCAGCAGCCGGGCCGAACCTGGACGACGAGGGCGCAGACGAGAAGATCGCGGAGGAGTTCCGGCGCCAGTTCATGGACGCCGCAATGCAACGGCAGCAGCGCAAGAGGCCGGCCTTGAACGCGAAGCCCCCTGCCCGGGGAGCTGTGGCTGAGGAAGTGCTCAAGGGCCCGAAGTTGGGCGGCAGTCGGAACCAGAGGGCGGCTATGAGGGATATCTTGCTGAGACAGCAGGAGGGGAAGAGGTAATGGCCCTCGGCGGTTAGATGGTTGGATTCTTGGTTGCGGTGGCTGGATGTTGGCTATGGTGTCGGTTATAATCTTGTATAGCGGTGTGCTTCAGCGAAGACACGATCACGTGCTGTTTTTTCTAGCAGTGGTCACCGAAATAGGAAATCTCGGACGTTACGATCGGTGCCTGGATGTCAGCAATAAGCGGAAGATATCGTGCACGAGCCCTCCTCATGCTTGCGCATCCTGCAGTGAGCCTCAAGTCGTATGATCGATATTGGGAGTCCATCTATGTCGATCTCATCCTGCTATACAAGTCACCACTTGCTACGGACATCTACACCCAGAACAACATACAAGCAGCCTGGTGTTGAAGATTGAGACACGCGCATTGACTTCAACATTCATGGTTGGTTCGAGAAGTCCAGAAGAAGGTAGCAAGCAATGCGGGACGAAGGCGCGCGCTAATGCAGCCTAGTGGTCAGCCGCAGTTGGTCCATGAGGGAGGTGGGGTTTGTTAGAACGAGAATAGCTCAGCCCCTGTAACTGACAGGAGGGCACAGTCTCAGATTTCTTTTACACACTGTTGTCTCGCTGCAGGACTCCCCGTGTAGCACTGTAGGATTTCCATGCTGCACAGTGACCCTTGGTGAAAAAGAACCCGGCCGGCAGTGGATGTGCCGCATTTTGTCCAATGGCGATCATCTCTGCTTCGCCATGTGTGGGATTCGGCATCCGTTTCGAAAGTCCCTTACTCTCACCAACATCAGCGTCTAAGCGCATCAAAGACAAAGAGGACGGACGATGCTCAGGGGAGAAGAGACGAACAGAATGGCCAACTGAGGTCAAGTCGAAGAGGCATTTTTTTGGGGATCAGGAAGACACCAAGTGGTTGTCCAACCCTCCAACGTGGCTAGACCACCTCATCAGTCGATAATGTGTGCAACATCCAAGGATCTGGTTGGTGAGGCTGCGCCTCTAGACTCTCCCTCCT